CCCACCCCCTCAAATTCGCAGTAGTCATGTTCTCAACAATCCCCTCCCTCTCCACCCCACCGGGGGGGGACAAAGTAAAAAAAAAGGAAGAGCTAGGGTGACTTGTCAACACAAACTTACGGATTAATTTGTCAGATGTGGAAGACAAAAAATGAGCTAATTAATGATGCAACAACATACTCGGTATTATCCCACACTGTGGGGTTTGGGGAGGGTAGTGTGTACGCAGACCTTACCCCTACTTTGTGAGTAAATTAATGATGCACCAGAAATGTACAAATCAAAACGCGACTGCCTTTTGCTCATTATGCCATGAATTAGTGTTACTGAAAGCACTAGAGGCTTTCTTCCAGACATATAGAAGGTAGCTACCGTACTACACTTACCACTCATATTAATCAGACACCACCTACTATATGGAAAAAGGACAAAAAGAGATTCTTGCTATTACCATCAACAACACGCATATGACGAAAAATGTTGGTTGTGATTTCCCCAGGATGAAGTGAATTTGCAGTTATTTCCACTCCATCTTCCTGTTCGAAATAAAGATCACCCAAATTTTTAGAGTTTAATTGAATGACATGAACCGCTCAGCCAACACTATAATTGGGCTACAGAAGTTAGAGACTGCAAGCAAAGAATTTCTTGATGTGCAAAAAGGAATACCCGAAACTTCAGTCCAAGAAATATATGTATTTGTCTCGAGGAACAGAGACACATAATGACTACTCAAGAATTGCCAAGATAAAGTCAGAATGAAAAGCAGTATGTAAGATTTATTTACTGAAAAACACCTCAAAATGTAAGCAGTGTGCAAGATTTATTTTCTGAAAAACACCTTTAAGCGTCTTGTAAGCTCATTTGCATGCAGTATGTTGGCCAGCTTTGATTGGCTATATCCACCGATGATGTTGTAGCTGCATATAAATAACAAATAATAGAGACAATGATAAGTAAGTTCCAACAGGCCAAAGCTATCTGTATCATGTAAACAGTCATGTTTATACAGCTTGGAGTGAAATAGACAGCAATGAAATGTCAATTTTGAGCAAGAAAAGCTTGTTATCTTGATTAATTTTATAGTAGTAATGAGCAACTATTGAGATTGAAAGAAACCAAATAAGATCAGTGATCATTCAAATGATGTGATCGCAAATAAAGGATAATCTAAAGTAATTCATATTAAAGTTCAAATACGGAGAGTATAACATCCAGTACTCTCCAGGTGACACCAATACATCTATAACATATTGCAAAAGGAATTTCAAGGTGCTGTTAGAAAGTCTAGGACATCAAAATCAATAAGAGAGATGGTACACCAAGAACATGCAACAGATTGTGAGTAATAATCCTGGTATGATGACGACAGAAATCTGTATTCAATATATTATACACTCAGCATGGAACTGCTGAAGCTATTAGACAGTAATTGTCAAATTTCCAGGATCTAATTGAGCAGGTGACGAATTTGAGTGAAATGGGTTTCACTTGATAACCATCAAAAAAAAATTTTTGGAAATCCGGCATCTAATATAGTAAGATTACCTTTTGGGGTCATTAATTTTGTCAAACTGAATTCCCTTGCTATATCCCAATCTATGAAGCCGTGAGGAAACATTCACAATCCTTCCCTCTCTCTTTGTTGTACGTGCTGTCTCCTTCATCTTGTCCAACAACAAATTTGTCAAAAGAAAATGACCTGCAAAAACAAGAAAAAAGAACAATTGGTTACTTTTAGAATCATCGAGCGCCTATCATCTGTCTACAACGTACTACCAACCTTGATATATTTGTCACGCATACGTTGTATTACTGAAGAGTAGGATAATAAAGTATGGACAAGGGGACATGAACTGCCTCTTACCAGTGTGATCTTAGAATCACGCTTTATCTCCCTTGTTTAAATCTTACATATACAAGTTGATTCAGGTCTCAGATGATCTCTTATATGTGTGGATTTTATCACTAAAGCCTAAAATAACATTATTGAGAATTGACTATTGATCTCCTTTTAAGTGAGAACTGAATCTTCATTTCAGTAAAAATAGGAACGGAGATCCATTTAGATTAGATGTTTTATTCTTTAAAATGAACTGTTGCTGGAATAAAAAAAAGATGCAAATATTTCGAGCTCTCTTTTACTGCAAACATAAAAAAATATATCATCTCCTCATAGAATGGTCCAATTATGTTGCTCCTCATTCTATGATCGATATATTGCGCAGAAACATACGTATAACAAACAGTCGTACCTAGATGATTTGTGGCAAATTGCAGCTCTATGTTGTCTTTGGAAAGCATAAAGGGAATTCCCCCCACTCCTGCATTATTACTTATGGAAGATAAGATGATATTAATAGATGTATGTGGAGATATATGAAGAGGGAAGGGATTCGTGCAAAAGGGGAAAAATAGGTAGCAAAGTGCAAAGTCTTCTAGTATGTGGTTACCACTTTTACTCTTCACTTACATTAGCATGTTCAACGAGAGACCTGATGATAAAAAGTTGGCCGCAAATTTCCTTACTGATGCCAATGAGCTAAGATCTAACTCCATTACATCAACTTTAGCAGCAGGGATTTCCTTAACTATTGCTTCTTTAACATCTTTTCCAGCAGCCATATTTTTGACAGCCATGATAACATGAACTCCACGCAGAGCAAGAACACGGCTGGTTTCAGATCCAATACCACTTGATGCTCCTGCAAATGGATGTCTATAAGCAAAACAAATATTTATTAAATGAATAAATTTCCCGCCTCTCAATAGAACACTCTAGATTGTCATTATTTTGTGCTTGACCTTGCACAACTTCGCATAAAAGATTCTGAGATGCAACCTCAACTGTATATAAGCAGCCAAGTTGGTCATAAACACACGTATTTACATAAGTGATGTCAATTGCGAAGCTTGTCATATACTAGCAGTACCCATGATAGGGAAATGGAAGTAAACCTAAAAATCTGCATTCCCAATAAATTAAAGTCATCCATTCTAGAGTTCTTCCACTTGACACTGATCTACAAGGTTTAACTGAGAAATGTGATAAAACACCTATAGCTTCAGCTGCATATCTTATAGTTGGCTGGCCTCTGCAATATTCTAATCTATGATGGACTAATTTTGCATTATCTTGGTCAAATTAAATAAACCCTTGAACCAGCTGTTATCAGGAAAATTGCCTAATTAACTACTACTATCGAGGAATTCAATATTCCAATATTTCTTCAGAGCACATCAATAGATTCTGAATGAAATCCAATTACCAGTTTTGTTGGTCTGGTTCAAAAGTCAAGTTTATCCAAAACTCGCAATATAAACACTAATGAAAGGTTCCATATCAAATAATTGTTGTTTTAGATTGATTGTTTATCTAACAACAAAAGCTGCATGAATTTAGGAAGTTGAAAAGGAACCCACTCTAACTATCCACATTGAATATTGTTGAGCAATCAAATTTTTCTTAACTGCTCTTCGCATCTCTGATAGGATATACGAGAGTCAACTTGTGACAGGAGGATATCTAACAAAGTAAAAAGTTGTTTTGTTTTTATTGGAAAGTTGTGAGACCAACAATGCTATAAGCGCATTAATGTTAGGCCTCTATCAGTCTATCTATCTACAAGTAGAAGATGAATGTCCTAGAAATATGGATAATTTGGTCGTTTAAAAATTAGACAAGATTAGAAATGATGACATTTGACAAAAGGTACAAGTAAAACAAATAGAGGAAAATGTTAAAGATGTCATCGGAGATGGTTCGCTTATGCAAAGGTAGACCTACAAATGCACTGATCCGTAGCTGGTAACATGACTATTGAAGGTGTTAAAAGAATTCGAGGTAAACCAACAATCATATGGAGAAAAATTTTCATAATAGACCTAAACAAATAAAGTTCTTGAAATACATGCGGACTTAGTGAAAAACATAGCAGAATGGAAGCCAAGCATATATTTGTGTAGGTGATATCAACGAGCTAGGAATAAGGCTAGTCGTTATTCACACATTTATATAAAGCTCACTGTTTGACAGGAGCCTTTTCAAGTGTAGTTAAAATAGTATGACAGTATAGAAAGGGGCATAAATTTCGAGAATCTTTAGTGCTATAGAATCTAAGTTATCCTACGAGACAAACTATTGAGTAGGGGAATGATAGGCGCCCAAGTGAAATGGAATGATTCATCTCCAACTTGCTTGGGATTTGCCTGAAACTTTCAACAACTTTCACCGAAGATATTCAAAATATAAAGAAGTAAACACACGAAGAAGCCACGAGCAAT